TAAATAAAAGCGTGGTAAATCTAGCTATAATAGGTATGCCTACACGGCGGATTTGCGAGTTATTTTTATTTTCTTCCTTATACTCTTAGATATTTTCCAAATTTGCTGAGATGAGTATATATCACTTTCTACGATCAGAAAGCAATCCTTTAAAAATCTTGATATGGACAAACTTTCATGATTAAATAAATCTAATTATACAGTTGCTGTATTTTAAATGGTTTCTTTAAAGTTGGCATCTTATTGGGGCAATAACCCACAAACTAACTGCTGCTTTACTAAAAATATAATTTATATACTAATAAAAATGCCATCCGTTTCTTGAGAAATGCTTTTGGACTGGACCTCTGAATATGAACTGGTGGAAAGAAATGCAGAGGAACCTCCTCCACCTACACCTCAAAGCCAGGCTAGTATCTCTGTGTCCATACGTCCACCACTGTGACCTTCACAGAGGGGGAAACAAGAGACATGGAAAGGCAAAGGGAGGTTTCTCTAAAATAAAAATATAAAAATATATGAAATCCTCCATAAACAATATGAATCCAAAGCCGAAAAAGAATAACTGAAGTAAAATAAACATGTGTCTCATTTCAATGCCTCATTTTGTTCTTGCTGCTTGAACACATTGCTGTATTCACTCTATATATTAATATTTTATAGTTGTCTTACAATAGTCCAGGGACAGAGAAACCAGATTGCTTTCAGAAACTTAATGCAAATTATTTATTCAATTATTATGTGCATGAAAACACACACTTTGGTTATAGCTTTAACAAGTCTACAGATTAAAGTCTGGATTTAAGTTCATTTGGGGTTCAACTCTATTGCTTATAACAATAATAAATAATTTTAATTCTCATTTCTAATGATATTGTAGAGGAAACCTTAAAGGGGAAAAGAAAAGAAGTTTCCGTTTTGAAGAATTAAAAGTTTGGGGTCCAAAACACATCATGAAGACAAGCACACCTGCAGTCAACAAAAACTTGCCCTTGCGACCTGGGAGGCCCATGGAAGAAGCAAGCTCTGGGGCAATGGCCACCCTGCCTCTGAGATTTGGAAGAAACATGAAGGAAAGCATCCCAGACATGTTCCTAATCTGCCACAAAGGTTTGGGAGAACAACAGCCAAAAATGTGACCGAGACACTGAGTGATGTGCTCCAAAGACCCATGCATTCACCATCTGTCAGTGAGCTGCTTTAGGCTCTGTCCTGTCAGCCCCCAGAAATCCAGAATCCTGATTAAAAAACACCCAAGGTAGTTACCTGAAAACCCATGACACTGCATGGGCAGTTATGTGCAGCTGGTCCAGAAACTCTACACAGGATTGCATCTTTTCCAGAGAAGTTTCCAAGAAAGTTAAGTTTCTTAGAAGGAAGAAGGCAAAGACCCAGGGAAATAAACACCTGTACGTTGAGAACTATAGAAGGTCAGGTGCAAACATGACTATAGGTATAAAGTAATGAGATGGCTCCTCCTAAGCCCCATATGGGCCATATCATTACCCAATAGCCACAAAGATGGGACATGTGGTGACAGGTTGGGAATTTAAGCTCATGACATTGTCCAACATTTGACCTCTCTAACATAAAAGGTCTCATATGAGTTGTCTGCAAGTACAAAGGATACCCAGTTCTCAAATTCAGAAGATTATCCTCCTCAACTTTAAATTTCTTTTCTGGATCTCAATTCATAAACAATTTCAGTTATTATAATCATTATTATTAAATAATAAGTATTTCTTGAATATCTACCATGTACAAATAAGAGTGCAAGGTCTCCAAGAGATTAAAAAAACAAATAAGCTACCTACTTATTAATTTCTAGTAGAAAGTACATGTAAAAAAAATTTTTTTTAAATATATTTTATTGATTTTTTACAGAGAGGAAGGGACAGGGATAGAGAGTTAGAAACATCGATGAGAGAGAAACATCGATCAGCTGCCTCCTGCACGCCCCCCACTGGGGATGTGCCCACAACCAAGGCACATGCCCCCGACCGGAATCGAACCCGGGACCCCCCAGTCCACAGGCCGACGCTCTATCCACTGAGCCAAACCGGTGCTGGCTAAAAAAAAATTTTGGATAAAATAGTACATGACACTTTAGGTAAGACCTGAAGGAGTACGGTGGCATGCTATAACACCTCATCATAAGACCTCGGAACACCACTGGTTTACTTGTTACCATGTTTTTATCACCACTAACCGGGGTGCCCCCTGATCACCATTATGTATTTAGGGTCTGTCCCCTTTACGAGAATTTCAGTTCCATAAATCCCACAGTTTTTGTCCATTGCCACATCTCCAATGCTTACAACTGTGTCTTATGCATAGTAAGCCTTCAAGATTTGACAGAATGAATGAAATGATGTGAGAGGCGCTAATAAATTCCTATGAAGGGTCAACAAAAAGAGAACGTTTCTTCATCTGGGAAACCAGGGATGTTTCATGAGTTGGACTTTGAATGGTGGCTCTACTTTGGGCATTTAGAGACCGGTGGGAGGAAAGAGGATACTTTCAGGCAAAGACAGGGGGTATGAGCAAAGGTATTAAAGCCACCTGAGCCAAGAACACCTGGGGTTCCGTTTGGCAAAGCAAAGAGCATGCAAAGAGGAGAGGAAAGAAGAAGGTGAGAAGGAAGAGCTGGAAGCAGAGAGTGCACTCAGGGCCAGCAAAGGATTGGGGGTGTTATTCATCAGGACAAGGAAAACCGCTGGTGCCTGCTGAGGTTCTGAGATATCACACAGAGGTAGAATTCGCCAACTCATCACATGTTGGGAGTGGGGCCACTATGGGGGAGAGAAGAGTCAATGTTAAGTTTGTGAGTCTGAGTGCCCCTTACAAATCACTCCTTTCAAGTGCAACCCAACTAGGATCTCTTTCCTCCTCATTTCATGTTTCAAGTATTTAATTTGTAGAAAAAAAAATCTGGTCACTCTTACACTAACAATTGATGAGCACAGTATGCCACAATCCTAATGCAATTATTTGACTTTAGTCATAGGAATATGAAGCCCTTAATCAGATATAAATAATTTATTCAACTCCATAGGGTGCAAACCGGAAATGGTGTTATTTTTCATCCACCCTGCTCTGGCTGGGCCGTGTTGGATCTCCTTTCCCTGCTGGGTAGAGACCCCTTAATGATACTGTAGACAAACTCTATAACTTCTTTAGTCACTTCTTGATATTTAAAAACGCCATCAAGTTCCATTCAAGACACAACCTTGGATCTGAAGCACAGCTTCCCCTCCCCATCGCAGGCTGGGCTGGCTGCTGGAAGCACCGCAGAGGACAGGAGCATCTCTCCGCTCTCTCTGCCTCCCCTTTCTCACCTCAGAGGTAGGTGGTGAGAGGGGATGCGTAGAGCCTGGAAAACAACCTCCTACTTCTCCGGGCTGTTGGGACGGGTAAGGGAGGATGTGCGGGTGGGAGTCAAGAGCAGCCCTCTCGTCCTCTCTACCTAATGGTGCTGCTTCTGCGCGGGAGTTCTTGGGAAGCACCACAGGGACCTTCACGCTGACCTGAGAGACCTGCATGCCCCCTGATCTCTCCGACCACCCCCGTCTCACCTGGACTCCCCAGGCCCATTTATTGCCCAAGAAGGGCTCAGGCCTGCCACCTTCTCAGCATCCACCTGGCCCACAGAAAATGCAGACACCACTTGCAGTGCCCAGGGCAGAACTGCAGGCTGCCCCGCAACTGCCGTTCTGCTGCTCCTGTGTCTCCAGTTCTCTTTGCCCTGATTAGGGGGGCAGGGGCCGATGGGTAAGACTGCTTCCTGCCATTTCCATAGTATTTAGGACCCTCGCACCTCCAGATTTGAGCAGCAGAGAAAGTATCATGCAACATCCGGCTACACAAATAAATAAAGAGCCAGATTCACTCCTGGGACCCAGAGGATGGTACCGCCCACCATTGCAGGCCCCCCTCCTGGCAAGTCTTCTGTTTCCCATGGTACCTTTCAATCTCCAGGCTGCCCTCAGCCCTCAGCCTGCAGCACAGGCACCCACTCCACTCATGCCCATTTTTCTCTGGGGTCCTCTACATCAGGAATCACCCTCTATCGGCTCACCCTCCACATTGGAGGCCCTCCTCTACTCTGCCTCCCCCAGACGCTTCAGCTTTTTGGCCTGGAGTTGGGCACCAGTTCTTTGCTTCTCTTAACCACATGGAGCATGTTTCCTCATCCTACGGAAGCCCCTCCCTGGTGAAGGGACAGCTGGGCATAGGTAAGGGGCATTCACAGCAAGGTAACATGCTCTCCAAAGAAATCTCCCCATAAACCCCAATCCTATCCTTTAATAACCTCCAAGTAGGTGAGAGAATTGAGAACTAGGAGAACCCCTTCCTTCAAAAAGTCTGCAGATAGCCCTGGCTGGGTAGCTCAGTTGGTTAGAGCATCGTCCTGATACGCCAGGGTTGCAGGTTTGATCCTCAGTCAGGGCACATACAAGAATCAACTAATGAGTGCGTAAATAGGTGGAACAACAAATTGACATCTCTCTCTCTCTCCCTCTTTTTCAACTCAGTAAGTTTTTTTAAAAGTCTGCAAGTGGTGATCTTGCCTTGGGAATTTCACATCTATTGTATTTTGGAGTTTTAGTTAAAACTTCAGTTTTGACACCTTTTGCAACAAAGATAAACCTCTCCTTTTAATGAATATTTATAGCTCCTAAAAATGACCATTTCTCTGAATCATTACACAAAATAGGTTCATTTGCAGGGGAGAGAGTTAGGAGTTCTGGGGTTAAATTCTCTCAGGGGTTTGTGATCCCATTCAGTTCAAGAACTACTGCAACAGAAGACATTTTTATTTCTAGAGTTATTTTAAAGTAATATCTAATTCAGTTTATAAAGGAATAGTATTATCTGATTGGCCATTAAAGTGCTTACGAACATGATGTCAAAATAATCAGAATCACTCAAGTGGTTTAATCTGCCGCTCCTCCAAATCCCAGCTTCCTGCAGCAGCAGAAAACAGAGGTGAGTTGGTGCCTATGCGCCTCTCCTCAATGTGCCTCCCCAGGCTCATTCCCCAAACCATTTTCTGTTCCAACGCTTCCCTTCTGCCAGGACATTCCCTGATTGGTCCTGACCTAAGACTCGGGCAGCCTGTAAAGATGAGTGGACAGTCGGGGCTTTGTGGGAAAAACTGCGGATGGCACATTATACGTCAATGATTTTCATGGAAGGCAACTTCCATGTGATCTCAGACCCACATTTCATACATCATACTGTGACAGTGACCTTGAGAAATACAAAAAGGGGAAAAATATACTGACTCACAGACCAATTTCTCAGTGAGAAAAATGAAAGGTCAGTGTTCACCTAAGTGTGACCAACAAAATGAAATGGGCAAGAAAGGTGAGCGCTTGGCCTCCACTTGTGTGTGTGTGTGTGTGTGTGTGTGTGTGTGTGTGTGTGTGTGTGTGTACTGTTTTCCCTAGAGCTCTTCCTGCAGACATTGTGTGGCACTTCTCCTGTGGATCTTATCAAACCACATGTTATTCCTGTCACATTTCTGCACCTTTTTTCACTCCAATTCCTTCACCTGTAAGGTCCCTTTTCTGTCTAAACCAGTGGTTCTCAACCTTGGCTGCACATTAGAATCACCTGGGAATCTTTTTAAAATCCTGATTTCTGTTTCTTTGTTATGGGGTGAGGCCACAACATTAGTAACAAAGAAACAGGATTTCCAGAGGAGGAGGCCCAGAAATCAAGATTTTAAAAAGATTCCCCAGGTGATTCTAATGTGCAGCCAAGGTTGAGAACCACTGGTAGAGCCTTGTGGGCTATTGTGAGGACTTTGCCTTTTTCTGTAAAAGAAATGGAAACTTTTTGTAA